TGCCCCAACCACAAAGATTCTGATTTGGTGTATGACATGGTTTTCAACCTCAGCACTACTGACATTTTGGGCTGGATAATTATTTGTTGGGGGACCTGTCCTGTGTATTGAAAGATGTTTAGCAGCATCCCTGGCCTTTACTCAATAGATATTAGTAGCTGCACCCATCCCTCAGTTGCAATAACCGAAAATGTCTCCATACACTGCCAAATGTCCCCTGAAAGGCAACAATAAGAAGCACTAGTCTTGGGGCATGACCCAGGCACTGAGAATTTTAAAAGCTCCCTAAATCATTGTAATGTACAGCCAAGACAGAACTATCACTTTGGAGGGTTCCCATTAATGAGTAGCTGTGGATGGGCAATAGACTAAAGAACAATGAAAACTAAACTTTATAGCATTGGCTGTAAAGTAAAAGTAAATCCACCTCAGTGAAGACTCAGGCAGTTTGCTCATGAGTAAAGAACATGAGCTTTAGGGTATAAATTTCACATCAACCATTTGGCTCTTTACATTTTTGCTTACTTTTTGGTTGTTGGGTGTGTTCCAGAAACTGAGATAAACAGGTACACTGCACATATCTAAAAGGTCCCAACCAAGTGGATATTGCTTTATACTAAAAATAATAGTGGACAGACATCCTGCTTTTGGATTTAGTCATTCTAAAAACAGAGTGCTTATCAGTGTATCATGTGGTACAAGTCCTTTAGTAAATCTATTTTGATAGGTTAAAAAATGTAACCTGTCAATTTTATGATGTTGATTTTGACACAATCCAAATCAGCCATACAAATACAGGATTTCTATAGTAATTTGTGCCATTTAGTAGTATTTTAATTTTCAGATGAAGATCAGGGACTTGACTTATATTTCAACTGTAGAAAAATCTCCTAGGCAAGAACCCAGGCAAGTGTCCCTCAGTGATGCCCGTGCTCGGCAGGCTGCCCTCTGCTGCCTCAGTGGTTGCTCTGGGCTGCTCCTTTGCAATCCCCTTGAGAGGGTGACAGCACAGTGTGTACCTTACTATAAGATGTGCATCATCTCCAGGTGCCTGCTCTGCAGCTCTTCCCAGGAGAGCCGTCCCATCCAAGCCCAAAAGCTTGTGACAGCCCTTCTTCAACCTGGATCTTAAACAGAACAGTATTCTCCCACTTCTTGAAACAACTAGTTGGTAGGTGCATTTTTTCTTTCCACATTAAGAGTGGAAGTTGGTAGGTGCATTTTTCTTTCCACATTAAGAGTGGAAGCACTTTGACATATTGAGAAATAACTTTTAAAAAGAAAGTAAATTACAAGATGAATGTTTTCAGGGCAAAATTGGTACTATCTAATCTCAAATATGAAAATGTCCAAAATTAATGAGTTGAAATTATTAATTCATTCAACACCTATTAATGGCTACATACTGTGTAATGTGCTTAGAAACTATAAATATGAGGGTTAAATAATAGCACGGACCCTTTTATGGCAAAAATAAGCTATGACTTCTCCAAGGTGCCAGATTAACCCTGTGAACCAATCCAACTTGTCAATTTGTCAGACTAGGTTTTTTTTTTATTGAATTCTTAGTAGATTATTAAAATCAACTAGTTCTTTTGCCATTGTCCAGCTTCATCCTAAGCAGTTATCTTTTTCTATCCTAGACTAAATTGTTTCATCAATGTGCTTTTAAAAATCAAAACCTTTTAAGTAGGTAATAAAACTGCTTCCCAGAAAAGTATTCTAGGATAAAAAGATCATAAAACACTGTTAATAGCTATTATTTCCATATGATTCTATTTGTTTTTTAAAAAGGCACATGCTTTTATGTACATAGGAAGTTTTCTGGAAGAAAACACAATTAACAATTAACAGTGGTCGCCTCTGGGCAGGAAGTTTAGGAGACGTCATTGGAAGGGAGACTTTTCATTATGTTTTTATATACAGCTTATTTTTACTATTTTAAATTGTATTTTCAGTTTTAATTGCTAATATATAAAAGAAAAGATGGGTTCCCAGTAGTCTTTCAGAAATTCCAAAATGACTCTTCTAATAAGAGAAAAATGAGTGAGCAACACTATGTACCTCTTTGATGACCCCTTCCTTTTGTATATGTTTTATTGCTAAAACTGAGTAAGATGAAAGGAGACTTTAAATTTAAGATTCAAAGCAATCCTACAATTGGTTCCAAGAAACAGATTGAGTAATCAATGAAGGCTTCTTTGATGAAGCCATCTTTAACTAGAAAGGAAGAAGCTGCCCCCAGCAGAGATCTAATATCCCCTGGCTGCTCTGGACCGTTCACTATCCATACAGGTTTCAGAATAAGCAGATATAGGTTAGAGAAGTCCACATTGTGGCTGTACTTAAAAATTTCATCTAATGATCTCTTTCATTCCTCTTTGTCTATAATTTCCCAAAAGAATCAATGCTCGTTCTTGAAGAAAAGAAAAATAACAATAACAAAGATAACAAAATATATATTTTTATCAAAGAAAGACAGTTCTATGATCGTTTTGATGCTCACCAATACCATGATATCCTTCCTTTCAGTCTTTCCTTTACACCTAACCCTAGTGAAAAGTTTAAGCAGGCGTGAGAAAGGAAAAAATTCAATCAAGATTGGAAGGGACTGAAACAATAAATACTCAGTTGTGGATTTTTCTGGATCATTTCTCTTAGCACTTGTCACTTAGTTCTTCAGAGGATTTCAGAGTCTCCCTTGTTGAGCAAGAAATATCTTTTTCTTTTTTCTCATTGTTAGATGTGTGAATTATGAAATCAATCCACATGGATTTTAGGATCTTCCATCTCTGGGAATGAACCAACTTTAACAGCTCAATTATTTAAAAGCATATCTATAACAACTCTTACACATTTTAATTACATCTCTGTTGTCTTTTGTAAAGAATTACAATTCTGGGACGAAATACTAAATTCTCATTCTATAAAATATAGTTTTCGGGTTTTCTTTTCTTTATAGGGGATTCATCCCAGAAATCATGTTTTATGTCTCCACTTGCATCAAGCATTAATAACCAGCAATCATCAATGGTATAAATTGTTAGCTTCATGAAAACTGTCAGAGTTGATGGCAGTATTTCTATGAAAAGCACACCAGTTGTCCTTGGAAAATGTTTACATGGAAATTCTGAGGAGACACCAACCAAGACTGGTTAGAGTGAGAAGAAGAAGAGACCAGAGGCAAGATTGGATTGAAGTAAAAGATCCTTTCAGAAAACTATTCAGAAGAAGGGGAATATGTTTGAAATCTAAAGAGAACTTCTGTAATTAAGTCATATGGGGTCTTAGCCATAAAAATAGAATATCGGAGAGCCCTGTGATACTAAATTCTCCAAACACCTAGGTTCTGACTTTGTATCTATGGGGTACTGGTCTCCCATCCTCTTTCAATGGACTCATATTAATGAACGCATTGACCATGAAATTAAACCTCACATAATCTATTAGAGAATGTAGAACAGAAATTCAAAGCTCACCTTATAATTACTATGGCAATAGGTACTTTGCAAGAAAAGAAAAAAAGACAAGTTTATCTAGTTAGTAGGATAATGTTTCCTATTAAGTGGAGTAAATTTAAATTCTGACTCACTAAGTAAAAATTAGAAAGGAAATCAATACCATTTTTACTCTTCTTTTAGGTAGCTGAACTATCTGCTCCTAGTACAATACCTAATTAGATAAGTATCAGCAACCCACAGGGGACTTTTGTTCTTGCTTTGTACCGCAGCCACTAGAGGGTGTCCATTCTTCCCTACAAACATAGATTAGTTAGTTAATTATTATTAGTTTCAAGTATACAGTACATTGGTTAGACATTAATATAGTTTATGAAACGATTCCCCCAATTACTCTATCACCCATTTGGCTCTACACACAGCCATTGCAATACTACTGACTGCATTCCCTGTGCTGTGCTCTCCATTCCTATGACCATCTTTCAACTACGAATTTGTTCCTCTTTAACCCTTCACCCCTTTCTCCCAGCCCCGCAACCCTCCTCCCCTCTGGTAGTTCATTAATATAGTTTATGAAACGATTCCCCCAATTACTCTATCACCCATTTGGCTCTACACACAGCCATTGCAATACTACTGACTGCATTCCCTGTGCTGTGCTCTCCATTCCTATGACCATCTTTCAACTACAAATTTGTTCCTCTTTAACCCTTCACCCCTTTCTCCCAGCCCCCCAACCCTCCTCCCCTCTGGCAGTTACCAGAATGTCTTCTGTATTTGTGAGTCTGTTTTCATTTAGTCTGTTCTTTTTGTTCCTTAGATTTAGAGGTTATTATACTGAGCGAAATAAGTCAGACAAAGAAAAATGCCACATGATTTCACAAAGATTTTAAATTGTCAACATGGAAGAATAGATTTTCTGCAAATTATACAAAGAGATCACCATAACCACGTTTTTCTGTATTAATGAAAGTGTGAGCGTAAATAAAGGTCAGTTATGACACACTTACTGAAGCAAAGTCAGCCCCTTAAGCACAGAGAAAAGTATAAGTTCAAAATGGCTTTAGGAGTTAACCAGCTGACAGTCAGTACATCCTAAACCACTTCATTTTCCCTGTATTAACTATAACCTCACATTTAAATCTTTGGCTCTTGCCAGGAGATAATATAATCTTCTAATGCCACTAGTTGAAAATGACTTGCTTTATTTACGGTATAGCAAAAATTGATAAGACATGATTGCTTGTTTCTGTGTTAAGCTGTCACCCTAACCCCATACTTTTGCTACTCTTTGAAAAGTAGGCAGTCTGACTACTTCACATAAGAATATATATGATATCATTCTCCAGATCCTTCCAGATTGCTGAGGCTTTAAAATACAAAAATAATATTAAGAAGAATACTCTATTACTACCATGCTAACTGGAAAGCATAAGGAATAATAAAAACTTAGAAGTTTGGAAGATAATTAGAAATATGTGTCTATGTATTCCATGCCAGCTCTGCCATTTCTTACTACAGTGTTTCCTTTTTTTTTTTCAGCTGTTGGCTGGACGCTGGCCTTTTGATCATAATGACTTTGGCGTATTTCTTTGCAAGCTGTTCCCCTTTTTGCAGAAGTCCTCAGTGGGGATCACCGTCCTCAATCTCTGTGCTCTCAGCGTTGACAGGTAATGTGGTTCTTTCCCCTTACTCTTTTGTTGGACTTAGAAAAGCGTTTTTGTCATAAAAAAAGGGAAGTCAAAAAGCCTTGAGAGTTAGTGCCCAGGACAGTTGTTAGTTACAAATGAATTAAAATATTAACAATCTTGCTCTACTGTTGATAATTGCTTTACACATTTGCTAATTATTAGTCATCTTCGGCTCAGGTAATTTGTATCTAGAGCATTTTGCCACTTATATTCATTGGACACCTTTATGGCAATAAAGAAATTATATTTAAAAAGCATGTTTTTCTATATCTGGTGGGAGTAGAGATACGAACAGTCCTTCTGGAAAGGAAAATCCTATAAATGCTTTTGCTTCTGACCCAGTAATTACAATTTTTAGGATCAATTATAAGGAAACAATCCAAGATTTGAACAGAGAATTCATGCACAAGGATGTTCTTTACAAGATTATTTACAACAACAACAACAACAACAAAAAACAGACAAGAACAGCATATGACACCAAGAATGAAAAACAGGAAAATAAAGATGAGGAAGATACCTGGCTACTATAAATAACAGAATTTTTTAGAGCAGCTAGGTATGATCCTCTGAGAAGAAAAACACTGATGACAAGAAAACCCAAAGGGGAGGGGAAAAACTTGCTTAGTTTTGTAAGAAATATAGGCAACTTTTCATTCCTATAATATGTTTTGTTAAAAATTTTAGAGTACATTTTATAGTGTTATGTGGCATGGTATAATGGTCCCTTATATATTTCATATAAATCTATTTAATATATTTTTCCTTAATAAAAATATTTTAAGGTACTTATTCCTCAGTGATATGGTATATAATAAATTATCCACAGATTGAGAAATATAATTCATAATTTAGTCCAACAGAGACTTGGGCAGGAAAGGGATGGTAGACAGACATAAAGGATAAGGCCTGGCTGCTGTCCCTAGGAGTTTTCATGGTTTGGAAACAAGGGAGAAGGAAATACATGATGGAAGTATTCAGATAATGGGATTCCTAAATCATCAAAACCCTCCATTTCTTCTCTAGCTCACATTGTTCTGCCCTATCTTTCTTCCTTAGAGGAATTTCAGAGGACCATCTTGCTGAGCTTAATCTCCCCAGTAGAAACTCTACCTGTGGGGAGTGGATAAACTGGGGCAGATGATAAGGGAAGAATGGAGGGATTTAAATCATAGACCCCTATTTCTGATACAGGTCCACCTCACCCACACAATCACCATGCATGGAGAAAAATGAACTGAATGATAAATCACAAATTATTAATCCTGTATCAAATGAAACATTCTTTTTTTAAAAAAGAAAGAAAGAAAGAAAGAAAATAGTTCATGCGTCTATTTTATTAAGACTTGGTCTCAGTTTTAAATCAAGGAGATAAACCCTTTTAAAATTCCACTCCCACAGAAATCTGCCTTAATCCAAGAGGTTTTTTTCTTGGTAATAAACTCATTGTTCTTTGTTCCCTGGTCCTTTATTATTTTTACATTTCATTTGGTATTGACTCTAAGCTTTGGGACCTGTATGTAGGGAATCTATTTTGACATTTCTATTTTTAAAGCTTTCACACTAGAGAATGAATCATCCACACTTAATTCCTGAAGATAAGATATCATTTGCTTTGAGTCTTGATTTGGTTGCATTGTATTCTACTAAAAATAAAAATTTAAAAAATCCCTCTTTTTATTTAATAGAACAAGGAGTGAAAAGAGGGAAATTGGAACCTATTGCATGCTGCAAAACAATTTACAACTCAGGGGTCCTTGCTTTGATTTTATGAGCTGAATCAAATTATAGTTTAGAAAGACTTCCCATGATTTTTAAATATATTTTTAAATGTGATAGTTATCTCTCATTTCAGAGTTGTTTTTGAGGGGAAATAATAAGAGTGAGTATATATCCCAGTTCTATACAATTTTTTTATTACTTCCTTGATTGCTTAATGAATACAGAATGCTATAGGGTCAAAGAAAAGATCTCACTTCCTCACTATCAGTTTTTAATCTGAATAAGGTAAACAGGACATGTCTTTGACTTGTACTCCAGTGGATGAGTTTTCATTGTTCATTTACACTATGGATTTGTCTCAGTTTAACTTTTTCACTAATTCCTCCTAAAACCTAATTCTTATTTATTTTTTATTTTACATCCATAGTCACTTAAGAAAAAGGTAAAACAGGAATTTCAGAAAAAGACTGATGAAATTTAGAAATAAATTTTGACCCCTATCCAGCTTTCTTAGTATAAAGTAGTCTTTTTTTAAATGCTAAGGCAGAACACTTCTAAAAGTATACTTATAAAATGAATGAATTTTTCCCAACAAATTATAAATAATCAATCATTATCAACAATTAAAATGGGTATTCTTGCATTCTTTACATGACAAATTTTATATGTTACTTTGAGTTTGGGAGGCAGGAGAGAGGAGGCAGGAATCAGGGAAGAGAATTCAATGCTATTCTTTGTAAAGTTAACACCCGTGTTTAAAGTGGAAGATGATGGGGTCAGGCCATTAGAAGGGTCAGGGTACCAATCCAACTTATACTTAAAAGTTGCCTGAGGAAAGAGGCTATAAATAGATAAAACTCTTTTAACAACTACTCTAGAATGACATATAATTAGATACCTGGAAAAGTTGCAAACATCCATTAATAAGGCAACTTTGTTTGATATGTCTCAAAGTCAAAAGCCAATGTCAGTTCTACATCCCATCATTTCAAGTAACTGCTCAGTGGTCTCTATGGTATTCCCAAAGGTTTATCCCAATTTAAGAAGCTTGGAGGTGATTTAAAAAAAAAAAAATCATTTTTATTTAGACTTGGACTTGGTCTCTCACTGTTCTTCTGGTGTTATGATTTTCCGTTGCTGCATGAAGGTAGTGAAGACATGGAAGAAGAAGTGGCTGAGCCAAATGAGAGAACCTGAGAACTGGAGAGAGACAAAGTCGAACACTGGCTGTAGGGCAACTTGGGATCTCATTTTGGGATCTGTTCCCCATTGCATATAGTTATTCATTTTTTTAATCTTAATTCTATTGTCAAAATCAGGCAACTGGCTAATTTTGCTGGCTCATTTTTCTTTGATAACAAATTACCCCAAAATTTAGCGGTGTAAAACAACACCATCTTATTCTTATCTCACCATGTTGTGTGCCAAGAATATGGACAGTTCTGCTCCTTGTCACTTTGACTGGGATTCCTTGGTGGATTCTGACTGGCGGCTGAACTTCTCTCATGGATCTAAGACGCACATGGCTGGCGTGTTGGAAATAACAGCTGGATGTCTGAGCACAGCAGAGCCCATCCCCCTCTCCATGCAGTATAGAGCCTCGCAACACATTTCGCCCAAAGTTGCAAGGGGAACCCGCTCCTCTGCTGTGAGGCCTTTGTCAGAGGCCAGACCTGAAACTAGGAAGGCATCACTTCAGCTGCACCCACTTGAAGGATTCAACTGAAGAAGTGTCAAAGTCTTTGCAGCTATCTTTTAATTCGTCACACCTTGTTTAATTTTTAAATTCTCCCTGCTAGTATTTTGCCTCGAAACTTCTCTATGGCAATTGGTTTGTCTATCACATGAGGCATAAATAATAAACAAACATTATAAATAGTCAGGTTTGCTATTATTTAAAGATGTGCAGAAGTAAAGATAGAAGTGCTACTTTACCTTATGGAAGCAGCAAAAGTGAAGGAAAAATCATTAATTCTAACGTAGGCAAGCACTGATAAGCACTAGGTAGAAGCATTTTTTTAAGGTACTTCAGTTACCTTTTCATTCCCTTAATTCAATAATCCCACTCAAGAAAATTAATCCAGGAAAATCATTCGAAAGGAGAAAAACACTCTATGTACAAACATATTTATAGATATGTTATTCACAGCCTTGAAACACTAGAAATGAGAACAAACTGTGTAGCCATTAAAATAATAAAGGCCATGCCTCTATAGAAACATGAGTATTTTATAATGAAAGTGAATAAAGGTAAAAATAAAATTGTAACTGATATGATTATAATATATATTCAAACTATGCTTATAATAGAAATAGACAAAGAATAAGAATAAAAATAGATTTTGTAAAAGTAGTATCATTTGAATACGTTTTATTTTACATTGTTTTAATAATAAACTTTTAAAAACTTAATGACCATCTCAGACTATACCTTAAAGATTCAAAAACATGTATCAAGTGCCTCTGACCTTGAAAACATGTAAAAGTTTATATATAGACATATACAGTAATAAACATCTTTACATAAATAAAACATGTAATTTATAGCTTTATTTTGGCATATCACATGACAGGTTTCTAAAAGTTTTAGCTCTTTATCTGTTGTCTAATTCAGGGCTAGTTTGAAAAATAAGGAAATGTTCAGAATGTAGTGTAGTATTGACTTTGGCCAATAAAGAGAAATGTATGGTAAGGAAACAAAAAAAGGTGCTTAATGCAACAGATATTTGGCACCTATTGTCCTAAGTATTGTGACCATCATACAAAATGTCTGCCCTATGGAGCCTATATTCTAAAGGAAGCAGTGGATATAGACAATAAACAAAATATGTAAATAAAATATTTGATCGGTCACATGGCAGTCAGCATTATGGAGAAAAACAAATCAGGGA